CTTTAAGTCTATGCTAGCAGAAACACCATTTATTCAGCTGTATGACTGCAACTATAGTAATGACCTTAATAACACACTGACTTTGTACTCACCGAATTGGTAATGCCAGTCTATCCGATATCAGTAATCCTTGCAATAAATAACACTTTGATTCTCTGTAAGCGCCTTGTATGTTGTACAGATAACCAATTTGATATAAAGACTGCAGCAATGCATACCTCACTGACCACATATCAACACCCCATTCAACTGCAATTAAAGGATCAGGTTGTTGACGGCTCATATCATTAAAGGCAAATGTCGTTGAAGACTCGCCAGTGAAGACTCGTGTTGTTAAAGACTAGTGTTGTTGAAGACTAGTGTGATTAAAGACTAGTGTGATTAAAGACTAGTGTGATTAAAGACTAGTGTGATTAAAGACTCGTGTGATTAAAGACTCGTGTGATTAAAGACTCGTGTGATTAAAGACTCGTGTGATTAAAGACTCGTGTGATTAAAGACTCGTGTGATTAAAGACTCGTGTGATTAAAGACTCGTGTGATTAAAGACTCGTGTGATTAAAGACTCGTGTGATTAAAGACTCGTGTGATTAAAGACTCGTGTGATTAAAGACTCGTGTGATTAAAGACTCGTGTGATTAAAGACTCGTGTGATTAAAGACTCGTGTGATTAAAGACTCGTGTGATTAAAGACTCATGTGATTAAAGACTCGTGTACAGTACTGATTTTGTAGGAATTCTGAATCAAAATGGCATCCCTGAAAATCTAGTCGAGCCAGCTTGTTGACTGCAGGGGAGATCAGTCCTCGAGAAGATTTGAGACAGAAACAAAAATTTGTATGGCCTCTGATTTCTTTTGTATTTATTGTATTTTGTATTTCTTTTTGTACTTATTTTGTTTATAGAATGTGAACTTTATTTTACTAAGTTACAAATTTTATAACTATAGTTTAAGATTACTATATCAATGTAGGATTTTCGTTTGCGCCAATGACAGGCTAGTAAATTGGTACAACTAGTTGCATCATATCAAATATGTGTGTGTGAGGGATGTGTCATTGGCCAAGAGGGCACACTGCTCAAGTCATTAAAGGTTTATGTTATTAAAGGCTCAAGTTGTCATAGACCTCAAGTCAGTAAAGGCTAATGACATTAAATGCTCAAGTCTTTGAAGGCCAATGTCATTAAAGGCCAAGTCATAAAGGCCAATGTCATTAAAGGCTCAGGTCATTGAAGGCTTAGGTCATTAAAGGCCAATGACATTAAAGGTTCATGACATTACAGAATCAAGTAATTTAAAGCCCATTCCATCAAAGGCTCATGTCCACTCCCTGATTAAATATGAAGCAAATAGACACAGCAACACGACCACCCACCTTTATTATTTCCAGTACACATATTGACAGTGAGACTTTCCACGCCCTGTCGTAGTCTCATCACATCGTATTCTAATTCCTGCGGTGTCTCGCCCACCACTCCTGTAGCCTGGATGTAATTGCAGCGTAATTCTTTACACTCAGCTTTCAAGAGATATGCCCAGCGTTGAGATCGTTCCAAGTTACTGTCCTCTTCTATTTCTAGCAGCAGTCTCTCAAGACTTGAAAACTTGAAAAAAAAAAAATGAGTCTTTATCAATGACATAGCCCCAGTTTGTATTTGGCTGAATTAACATTTGAGTGCAAGAAATGATAATGGACAGATCCAAAAAACAAATCCCTGTTTCAGACTAGGTTCGATATCGATATAGTGAATAAATTTATTTCTCTAAGGCAATTCCTGATACAGAATCCACTGTCAGTGCTGGGAAAACATCTAAGTACTGATGTGGAACAAAAATGACACAGTGCAAATTATGCATGCTAATTTTGTCAGCGAGCCAAGATTAGCCATGGATAACCAAAGGTAGCAGAGGATAGCCGCAGATAGCAGAGGATAGCCGCAGATAGCAGAGGATAGCCGCAGATAGCAGAGGATAGTCGTAGATAGCAGAGGATAGTCGTAGATAGCAGAGGATAGTCGTAGATAGCAGAGGATAGCCGTAGATAGCAGAGGATAGCCGTAGATTGCAGAGGATAGCCGTAGATTGCAGAGGATAGCCGTAGATTGCAGAGGATAGTCGTAGATAACAGAGGATAGTCGTAGATAGCAGAGGATAGCCGTAGATAGCAGAGGATAGCCGTAGATAGCAGTGGATAGCCGTAGATAGCAGAGGATAGCCGTAGATAGCAGAAGATAGCCGCAGATAGCAGAGGATAGCCGTAGATAGCAGAGGAGAGTCGTAGATAACAGAGGATAGTCGTAGATAGCAGAGGATAGCCGTAGATAGCAGAGGATAGCCGTAGATTGCAGAGGATAGTCGTAGATAGCAGAGGATAGCCGCAGATAGCAGAGGATAGCCGCAGATAGCAGAGGATAGTCGTAGATAACAGAGGATAGCAGAGGATAGCCGTAGATTGCAGAGGATAGCCGTAGATAACAGAGGATAGTCGTAGATAGCAGAGGATAGTCGTAGATAGCAGAGGATAGATGTAGATAGCAGAGGATAGCCGTAGATAGCAGAGGATAGCCGTAGATAGCAGAGGATAGCCGTAGATAGCAGAGGATAGCCGTAGATAGCAGAGGATAGCCGTAGATAGCAGAGGATAGCCGTAGATAGCAGAGGATAGCCGTAGATAGCAAAGGATAGCCGTAGATAGCAGAGGATAGCCGTAGATAGAGGATAGCCGTAGATAGCAGAGGATAGCCGTAGATAGCAGAGGATAGCCGTAGATAGCAGAGGATAGCCGTAGATAGCAGAGGATAGCCGTAGATAGCAGAGGATAGCCGTAGGTAGCAGAGGATAGCCGTAGGTAGCAGAGGATAGCCGTAGGTAGCAGAGGATAGCCGTAGGTAGCAGAGGATAGCCGTAGGTAGCAGAGGATAGCCGTAGGTAGCAGAGGATAGCCGTAGGTAGCAGAGGATAGCCGTAGATTGCAGAGGATAGCCGTAGATAGCAGAGGATAGCCGTAGATT